TAAAATGAAATTTAATAAGAATAACTTTTAAAAGAAAACTTAAAGTTAGTCTCATTTTTATTTTCCACCACTGTATATTTATAAAAATACACACCCTAAAATGGGTAAGTATTATTCAAATTTTTTAAAACAGTAAATAATTGCATTAAGAAATTTAAATTTTACATATAAACAAATATTTAATATTCTATTATCGTCTTGTCAATTTATCATTTTAAAATATAATAATTATAATACTACAAGTCGTAAAATTACTACAGGTAAATTTTCAAAGCTTAACAGAAGTGATTACGAAATAATTAAAAAGGTAAAAAATAAAAATAAAAAAATTTCAGCACATAAATTAAATAATGCGCTTATAAATTTAACACGAAAGAAATATCAGATAGAACAATGAAAAGTGTTTTGAAAAAATTAGGTTTTAGTAGTATTAAACCAGTTTCTAAACCAAAATTATCTAAAACAAATAAAAATGGAAGAATAAATTTTACCAAAAAATTTCTTTTTGTAGATAAAGATTATAATAATGACGTTATATTCATTGATAAGTCGTTTTATTAATCTAAAATGACTCAAAAAATATATAATATGGGTAGGCGAAAATGAATAAAAACTTGTTAATGAAGCCATTAAATATGGTAAAAAGAAAATATTACTTTGAAAGTATATGTCCTCTAAAGGTGTTGGCGAATTCGTTTTTTAGATAGAAACATGGATGCATTATACTATGTAGAAATTTTAACAAATAATTTACAATCTTCAATGTCAATGTTAGGTTTTGAAAATTTTAAACTTTTATAGGATAGGATGGTGATCTAAAACGTAAAAGTAAGTTATAAAGAAAATATATTGAATTTAAAATATCAAATTAGTAGATTAGGCATTTCAATCACTTGATTAAAATCCAATTAAAACTTATGGGTTATAATAAAAAGAAGATTAAAGGATATTGAATTTAATAGTATTATTAAAATGAAAGAAATTGTACAAGAAATATGGCAAAATATAGATTAATATGTGTGCAAATCTTGTAAATAGTATGTTTAAGAGAATAAAAAGAGTTATAAAAGCCAAAGGAAGACATTCAAAATATTAATTTTCAATTTCCATTTTTTATTGACCCTTTTTTTATTTTGTATTTTTTAAATGTTTATTAAATGTTTTTCTGTTATTTTTTTATAAATATAAAGTTAAAAAATTCGAAAAATATATTAAATTAATCGAAAAAAATTTTTTTTTATATTTTTAGAGAGTTTTAAAGTAAACTTTAATATTTATATTTTTATGTGTTTCACACTGTATACCCGAATTTTATTTTGTTTTAAATTTACACCCATTTAAATCAATAAAATTTATTTATAAAATTTCATTCAATTTCAACTACAATTAACTATTTTAATATGGTTTTAGTGAAATTTTAGGTATTGTTTTTATTAGTGTTTTATAATTATATATATAATTTTAAATCATAAGCATGTTTTACATAAACACTTTAACTTGAAAACCATTCTTATGATTTACAAAGAATTATTAAATACATAAGAAAAAGATGTCTTTTTACCTTCATGTAATAAAACAGTTGTATAAAATTAGTTTTAGAAAGATTATGAAAATATTGTAGCATCAAAAGGTTTTCTTTAAAGTTAAGAATGGGAATTGAATATAATCGTTTTTCTTTAGATACAAGTCATGTTGAAGAAAAAATAGACTCTCCAAAACACCTTTTTTATTATAAATATAGGAGAATGTGATTTGATATACCATTTAATTGATAGGTTTAATAAATTATTCTTCATTTTGGAAAAAAAAACAGAAAGATACATCATGTCTGCTCTCAAAATAAAAGAAATAATACCATAATCAACTAAACCAACTTTATTAAATTAGAGATTTTCATGATCATATCATAAAAAAATTCACAGGCGAAATTTTAAAAATCTCTGTTAAGTGATAGTCAAATTCATCATCTTAAAAGCTTTTTCTAGAAAATTTTATGAAGAATAATAAAGACATTACCGTAAGAACAACTATGATGAAAAGATTAATATATCATGGTATTTGATATGTTAGAACAAGATTCTGTGAAGGTATGTTTTAAAAGAAGAGATTAAGAAATATTTTATAATTTCTTATTTAAACATGTTGACATAGATAGTATGATTCACGTTTTCGGTTTGAGACTTTATAATAAAAAATTGTTTCAAAGATCACATAGTTTTAACTACTCTGAAAATATTGTTTGCTCTAAAACCTACTTTTATATTAAATTAATTTACTATTTTTAAATTTCCACAAAATTAAAAATAATTAAGAATGAAGTAAATATAACAAATTCAATGTTACAAACGCGTTTGAACTTTTTTACTTTTGTTTTTATTAAAAAGAAGTTTTTTATAAAATTTAAAAATCAATGAAAAAATTATGTTAAAGTTTGTTTTTTACATAATATTATGATAAAAATCAATTTATTGAGAGTTAATCAATACGGTACTGATCTATTTTTTACAGTCGGTCACAATAAAATCTGAATTATTTAAAGTATTTTTTTACCGTTTTTATCACTGCTACTCCTATCACTCTTAAAATCTTTATTGTTTTTATATTCAAAATCTTAAAAAAACCTTTAAAAAACTGTAATTTTTTACTTTTATATTATTTTCTAAAACAATGACATCATTTGTTTCAGATTGTAGAAAGATTTTTTCAACTAATTAAATTGAACTTAAATAAAACTGTTTTTAATAAACAGTCTAAAAAATGTATTTTTATTGAATTTTCTGAATACTCAGTGTATATACTTATAAAAATTTATTAAACAATTTCATTTTTAATATTAATTATATTAGATACAGTATTGCTCAAAAAAACGTGACCACTAAAATTTTTTAAAAATATATTGTTATACAGTATTATATTAAAATTTTTTTAATAACAGTATATATTTAAATAATAAACACAGCTAATTTCAAAAAAATAATAATAAATTTTATGCAAGGAGAAAATCTTTACAAAATTTTTTTAAAAAAAATTATCCAAAAAAACGTGACCAGAATTAAATTTCCCTCCAAAATAAATTTTAAAACAGTTTTTAATTATTGACCCATGACTAATCACATTACATATGAAGTTAAAGTCTTAATTGAAGATGATTTAATATCGGGTTTAAGTCAAAGAGAGGCTGCTCTTAAAAGAAAGGTTAGTAAAACCTTAGTATGCAATATTAATAAGAAGTTAAAAAATGGAACACCACTGGGAAAGAAATTTGGTTCAGGACAACCTGAAATACTGTCTGATGAATTAAAACGTCAGTTATTCTTGTTTTATGATAAAAATCATAAAGAATCTTGCTTAAAGATTACACAGAAATTTGTCGAAAAGTTTAATGTACAAATTTCAAGACAAACTGTGTCAAGAATTTTATCTGATTTTGGTTTAGTTACTGCCAAACCAGTGAAAAAACCACTCTTAAGACCTATTAATATAGAAAAAAGACTTAATTTATCAGAAAAATTTTTAGGGATTTCACATGTGACCTTAAAAACAATAATTTTCACTGATGAGTGTAAGTTTAATCTTTTTAATAGTGATGGTATTAAGTATGTGCGTTATTTTTCTGGACAGAGGTACAAACCTGAAAATACAATTCCTACAATCAAACATGGAGGTATATCAATAATGATTTGGGGATGTATTTCATATGCCGGGGTTGGAAGAATTGTTTTTATTGAAGAAACAATGACAGCTGCAGTGTATAAGCAACTTTTAGCTAATAACTTGAGACAATCTGCTTGTGAAATGGGTCTTGAGGAATTTATCTTAATGCAAGATAATGATCCTAAGCATACCTCAAGACTTGTTTCCAACTGGTTAGATGAAAAAGAGATTCAAGTTTTAGATTGGCCACCACAGAGTCCAGATTTAAACCCTATTGAGGCAGTCTGGGCTCTTGTAAAGTGTAAATTAGCTCAATTTGGTAAATTGAAAAAAGATGAATTGAAAGAAAAAATAAAAGAGATTTGGTATAATATACCAGTTAATTTGATCCAAAAATATGTTAATAGTTTTCAGAAGAGATGTCTAGAGGTGTATAAAGCAAAAGGCTATAACACTAAATATTAAATTTAATTCTGGTCACGTTTTTTTGGACAATTT